CAAATTTATATATTGAACTTAAAACAAATCTATCAAGTATAGAGACTTGAAAGACGAGATTAGGAACAATTTTAATTAAAGAATTCAGATGACGAACTTAATCACAAACAATGTGTAAGGATTACGTTAGACTATATAAAAACATAAAGAGGCAAAAAGATATAAGTTTTGAATTAATTCCTTTATTAATATTGAAACTCGTATTTGCAAAAGAGTTTACAAATCTACAAAAGAGTTACTTTGCAATATAAGCAAAAAGTCTATCTATTTATACAAAATTTCTTTTGTTACAGCTAACTAATTACTATGCTATAAACTAACTAATTTAGCAAAATAAAATATAAGTAAAATAAATATATTGAAAATACGTAAAATAATAAAAATAACAATAAAATTTAGAATATTAAAAATATGTATAACACTAAATATTCTTAGACTTCATTTAATTCGTAAAAATATGATTATTATCAGTACTTGAAAGATTTTCAGAATTACATAGATCTTTCGTATTTTCAGAATTCACAGAATTCTCAATATTTTCAGAATTTTAGATTAAGAGATCGTTATACTGCGTCATTCACGTGACTTTATTATGACTGGCTAATTGCTCCGTTAATAATATGTAATTTATAAAATATTTATTATACAACTAATAAGATTTAATATATATATTTTAAATAGGCTAAAATTTGAAAAACTCTATTAAATAGCAAATCATATTAAAAATTTTTAATTTATAATAAAATGTTTTATCTGCAGTTAGTTTACTTTTTGTAAATATTTAAAATGTTTAATTATATAATAGCAAATACTCATTTTTTCTATCTTATAATATCTTATCTTAAATTGAAGAAAATTACATTATTGTTATTCTTTTAAGATTCCTAATGAAAATTCTAAGAATGTAATTCTTATTTGTTTTAATTTTGACGAAAAATATTTAAGATAAAGTTTTATTAAATAATATTTTAATAGAAATGTGATAAATGAAAGAATTCTAAAGATCAAATTAAAAGTATTTAAAATAAAAGAGAGATAATTAATTTTTTAATAAGCAAATATCTTAGGATCATTTATCTTAAATGATAAATAATTTATTAATTATATAAAAAATCTCTATAAAAGCTTATACATAATCTTATTACTATTTTTAAAATAAAAATTTCTTTGTTTTATCTATTTTTTAGAATTATTCTTTTAAAAAATATATAGAAAAGAACTTGATATATTATTTAAATAGATTAAAATAAATTAAAATATATATAATAGAAAAAAGAAAATTATTAAAAAAACTTTTTGAAATTAATATTAAATCTAAATTTATTTTACTAAAAAATAATATTTAATTTATAAAATAAAAAAAATTTTTTGTAGTTTTTTTCTTTTTTACTATAAAGTTCTTATATCTTTAAAAAGTTTTAAAAATAATATAAAAAATACACAAATTAGAGAAAAGTTGAAGTTATTAAAATAAAAGTAAAGAATTATAATTAAAAAAAAGTAAAAGAAAATAAACAAAAATTAAAAAATTAATTTTTAATAAATTATACTAAATCTGCATAAATTAAATTTAAATTTTAAACATTACTTCAAAATAATTTTACTATATATATATTTATTTATAATTTTTATTAGAAAAGCTAAATTAAATTTTAAAATTTGTAATTGAAAACTTAAATATCTTTATAGAGTTTTTTTTTAAAATTTTTATTATATATAGAGTTTTGAATTTGATTTAATAGATTAGATAACTTAATAGATTAATCCAAAAAGTTTAAATCAGGTTAAATATGATACATAATTCAAATTTTTTAATTAAAAATTAAAAATTTAATAACTTTATCAATATCGATTTATTTGAGATAAAATAATTACCATTTAAATTCTCATATAAAGATGAGTCAAATGAGTTGTATTTGATTTATTTTAAATTACTACAATTAAAGTTCTTTATAACAGACCTAATGTTTTAATAATTTTTATTCATTATAGAATGAGTTCATTATATAAAATTCATATTATATAACAAACTGTTCATTATAGAAAGAGCTTATTATATAATATTTATATTATATAACAAACTGTTTATTATAAGTTTAACTAATAAAATGTTAACATATTATTACAATATATAAATATAGTTTTATATATATTATATATAATATATTTATTTATTAATATAGTATATTATATATTTATTACATTATATTATTATTCAATTTTATGAAAATTAAGTTATTTAAAATTTTTAACAATTTCTAATTTAACATGTTTATGTAAACCTTTTAAAATTCTTAATTCTTAATTTACTTTACCAAATCCTAATTCTTATTTATATAAAAATCTTGTAAGATTATTTATAGATTTTTTAGCTTCTTTTAAACTAACTTTTTCTAATATAGGTTTTGGTTCATCTTTATTTCTTGTAATTTCCTTTTTTTTATCTACATTTAATACAGAATTAATTATTTCTTCATCAGTAAATGCATTTTCTATTATTTTATCTTCAATATTAATATATTTCTTTACATTAAGTTGATCATTTCTGAAAGAAGATTAATTAATTTTTCAAGTTCTTTTTCTTTTTCTCTTTTATCAAAGATTAAAAAAAAAAAATTAAAAAATTTAAATTATATATTAGTAATTAATACATACTTATCATCAAAAATCAAATTATCCTCTTCAATTTTATTATATGGTAAAAGAATTCTTGTTTTTTTCCAGCAATTTGAAATTGTTTGAAAAGATATCATAGACTATACTTCAGCTGAATTTTGTAAAGTTTCAAAAATATTATAATCAGCAAGTTTGTCAACAAAACTATTTTATATATTATCATATACATTAATTTGATTTTAAATAAAAAATCGTTTGTAATGATATTTAAATGAATGAATTATTCCAGCATCATATAGTTGAAATTTAATAGTAGTATTTAACAGAGTTCAAACTACAATATAAAAATTCTGAATTTTCCGAATTTTTATTTCAAAATCTGAAATTTTGTCATAAAGCCAGATATTTATCCAAAATTGGAAAATTTAAATTTATTCAGATTATTATAGGCTGGAATTTTTTTTACAGATCAGATTATATATAAATTCATAATTTATACTACTTGATAATCAGGTAGCTTTTTTTCTTGTACATCAATATCTTTATTATATTTTTTTAAGAAGACTGAAGATGAAAGACAATTTATTTCTGACTAAAATGAAAGAAATTCAATTTTTGAAGTTGAATAGTACATATTTAATTTAAATTTTAAATGTATAATTAAAATTTACTTTATTTCAATTAATTTAATTTAATTTTATTTTAAATTATTTAGTGATATCTCTAATAATAATTTAGAACAAAGTTCATTTAAAATGAATAATTCTAGTAATGAAGGTTCTAAAAAATATGTAGTTTTTCTGCCTAAAAATAATAAACGAAAAACTAAACTTCTATTTCACTTCATCATATTAATATTTCTAAAAAAAAGTTAGGTTTCAAAAAAAAAGAATACATACCTTTCTTCTTGAAAGGATCAATATTCTTAGATACTTTATAATATAAATAAGAATAGAATGTTTTGTTCGCTATATATGGCTCATGGTCAAAAAATGAATTTGCTAAAGCAAATAAAGGTATTTTTAATTTTTATTATATATATATTTTTTGGTACTTTATTAAAAATTTATTAATTATTTTCATTTAATGTATAGGTCAAAAATTTTTAAATTAATACACTATTTGAATATGCTAGTATTAAGCAACATGAGAAGGCTTTTTGATTAGAAAGTCAAAAAAAAATAATGAAAACTGTTACAAGTAATACTATTAATAAAGCTCATTAACATATAATTTAAGTAATAAAAATGATTTTTTGGTTGGCATCTGAGAATCTTCCTTTATATAAACTTAAAAATTTTATCAATTTTCACGTTTTATCAGAGTGCTATATATTAAAGTAGTAATGATAATAGTTTAATATATGATAATTATATTACTAGTCTTGAAATATTAGATGCTCTTGCTCAAACGATTTAAGATAAAATTTGACAAGATTTAAAACTTGTTCAGGAATAATGTTAGATGAAAGTACTGATATTGCAACTGAATTACACGTCATATTATATGTTAAATATTATTTATATAGGATAATAAAAATATAATATTTAAAACTATTACAATTAGAAGTGCTGATGTACAAATAATATATAATGCAGTAATTGCATTGTTTATTAAAAAATGTAAGTTAAAGTTAAATTTATTATTTATTAAATTTTATTTATATAATATACTAATATAAATATTTATATAAAAATTTAGATTTAACTAACAAAATTATATCATTTGTATCAGATAGTACAAGTGTAATAATAGGAGAAAATAATGTTATACTGCTAAAATTGCAAAAAACAATCTATATCTTTTTATTACTTACTATATTACGCATAGATTATTATTAGCATCTGAAAATGCTTATAGACAAGTTGATTTTTGCAAAAAAGCTGAACAAATAATGAAAAGATATTACTAGTTTTTTAGCAAGTCAAGTAAAAGAATAGATATATTACGTAGTTATTAAGAATTTTTGAATAAGCTAGAAATTAAAATTTGTAAAATTTTTGATATTCAATGACTTTTATATTTTGAGGCTGTAAAAAATTTATGTATAACTCTTGAGCCATTATTAGATACATTAGTTTTAACTGCTATAGAAGTTACAAATGCACAAAAAGAGATTCAATTATGGCACTTTATGAGGAATTATGTAATTAAAAACTTTTAGCATTTTTTTACTTCTTATATAATATTTTGGGATATATTGCTAAACTTAGTAAAATATTTCAAAAAAGATATATTCAGTTTTCTGATATAGATACAACAATTAATATGACAATTTAAAGAATACAGTATGAATATTTAGAGCAAAATAATGAGGAAATTTAAAATTAGAATTTAATTTAAACCAATTTATTTAACAAATTTCACCATTATCTTCATCATTTATGGGTACACATCAACTAATATTAACTGAAAATTGTGAAAATGAATTAATGGTAGATATTTTTAGATTTACTTCTTCAGTTATTTTGGAGATTCAAAAGAAATTTCCAGTTCATCTATTATTGAATGCAATGCAAATACTTAATCTAAAAGAATGGCTAAGAAATAAAGAAGAATTGTTAAAATTTGAAGATGTAGAATTGGAAGAATTGATTAGATTTTATAAAAAATCTTATTTATCAAATTATTCTATTCTGATAATTGATTCTGAAAATATAAGAAACGAATGGTATTTTTTTAAGAAAATTGTTTATTGAAATTATCAAAATTTTAATATTAAAGAATTTTTCCTCATTTATTTGAAAATTATTCAATTACTTATCCTAATATAATGAAACTTATAGAAATCGTTTATAGTATTTCTTTTTTAGTATAGAATATGAATGTGAATTTTCTAAACAAAATATCATTAAATCAGATATTTATAATAGACTTAATAATAATACTCTTCATTTACTATTATTAATTAATTTGGATGATATATAAATACAGGATTTTAATTTTAATCAAGCACTTACAATTTGGTTAAAGATGCGTAAAAGAAAAGCTTAAAATAGTTTTTTTTTGTTAGATTTATTATATATTATCAAATAAAGATTTAAATCTGAATATAATATTAAAAATTTAAATTTATATAAAGTTCGAAAATATAAAAATATGCCAGATAATTTTAAGTTTTTTTTTTACAAAATTCAGAATATTTTTTATAATGGATAATTAACCAGAATATGCTAAACTCTGATTTGCACACTGGTATTTAGTAGAAGAAATTTCACATTAATGCAATCCAATTTTTCTTTAGTTTCATCTAAAATAAGATGTATTGATATATTATCAAGTAAAAGTACAATTTTATGCCTTTTTTATTTTATTTTTTCATTAAGTTTAAGAAAATTTCATTAAAAATACTGATTTGTATCCAAGATTTTTTATTCTAAAAATAATAAACAGGAAGATTTTTATAATTAAAATTTTTTATAATATGAGAAGTTTTGTGTTTATGAATAAATGATAGAGCTATTTTTTCAGTTCCTGTAGTATTTGTTATATAAATATAATAACTCTAAATTTTCTTTTTTATGACTAGATAAAGGACTACGTGCTAAGACTCTAGAAAGCTTCATTTTTCAAAAAAGTTCAGTTTTATTATCATTCCAAATGTCTTCAAGATCATAAGATTTAAGAAATTGCTGTAAAGTAAGATGATCATTTTCTATTAATTTATTAGAAGATACACTTGAGACTTTACTTTATTTTTTATATTGATGTAATCTATATTATTTTTTAAAATGACTTAACCAACCATCTGATTGATGAAAATCTTTTTGCAAAAAATGCTACTTTAACTTTTAAAATATTATCATTAATATCTTGTTTTGTATTCAAAGCATTATCAACTCAAAGATCAAGTATAATCTTAAATTGAGGTCACTTTGAATCACAAAACTTTTTAATATTTCTTTGATCTTCTGAAATTGTCAGTTAGCAGTCCTTATTATTTAAAATATTAGTGATTGTTGACTTGCCAATATTAAATCTTTATATAAGACTAACATTAGAAAGGTTTAGTTCTCTTTTTTTTATTTCACAAATTTTTCATTTTTGTGCAACAGAAAGTATGATTCTTTTTCTTGTTAACATTTAGAAAAATTGAAAAATTGTAAACTAATAATTAATAAAAAAAGATTATCATGTAATATTTAAAATACTTTCATATAATAATAATTGATAATCAGTATTATAATATTTATAATAATTTTTATTATTTCAATTTATAATTGATATTTTTATTAAAACACATAAAGAAAATATTTACTTTTTCTATTTTAACTTTAATGTATAAGTTCAATTCATCTAAGAAGCCTAATATCTTTAAAAAAAAAAAAGAAACATTAAGATCATTTCTTAATAAAATACAAAAACATTTTCTTTACCCTTTAAAAAAATTATTCTTATCCATTTATTAAGTCCAATTTATCTAAGAAGTCCAGCATTCTTATAAAAAAGAAAAAAAGAAATATTAAAACTATTTTTTAATTAAATAAAAAACATTTCCTTCACCTTTTAAAAAAAAAATTATCTTACCCATTTACTAAGTCTAGTTCATCCAAAAAGTCTAAAATCCTTATAAAAAGAAAAGAAGAAATATTAAAACTGTTTTTTAATTAAATATAAAAACATTTCTTTTATCCTTTAAAAAAAATATTTTTCTTATCTATTTACAAGTCCAGTTTATCCAAGAAGTTTAACATTCCTATAAAAAAGAAAGAAGAAATATTAAGACTATTTCTTAATTAAATATGAAAAAATTTTCCTTCACCTTTTAAAAAAATTTTCCTTACCCATTTACTAAGTCTAGTTTGTTAAAGAAGCCTAACATTTTTACAAAAAAGAAAAAAAAGAAATGTTAAGATAGTTTCTTAATTAAAACAAACTATTCTTCTTATTAAAAAATACTACTATTATCTAGTTTATTCAAAAAACCCAGTATTCCTATAAAAAAGAAGAAAAAGAAACATTAAAACTATTTCTTAATTAAAAAAAAATGTATTGCAAATATATTCAGTTCATCAAAAAGTTCAGAAACATCTCTACAAAAAAGAAAATGTAAAGTTCAGAGTCTGCACATTTTTAAAAAATTACCATTCATTCAGAAGATCAGCTTAGCGATCTGCATTATGTAATATTTTAGTATAAATATATAGCTAATATATCATGATTGGTTGGATGGGTTCAGATGTGGTATATAAAATTTTATAATTAAGTTCGTTATTTCCAGCATAAATAATATAAAAATTTAGTTCTAGAAATCTTAGTTCATTATAACCAGATTTTAGTATATACAGGTTCATTATAATCAGCTTTGACTATAGTTATTGAGAATAACTTATTTAATTTTACGATATAAAATTTTAGAATATGTATTATAAATTTATATATAAATACAAAATAAAGCATAACTTCATCAATATTAATTTACATGAAGAGTAAATAGTTATTATTCAATTTATCACATAGAGATAAATCTAATAAGCTGTATTATATCTATTTATAGATTACTAAATATTAAGATATCTCAAAAAAACTGCTTTTCAATTTTTTTTAATATAACCTGAAATCTGACCTGTGATCTAATCTAATCTGATACTTTAAGTCATATAAAATAGAGTATCTGATTCAACCTGACCTATTTAAAGCTTTAATTATATTATATAATTTAAATATTAAAAATATATAACTCTTCTTTACTAAAATTCCATAATATAATTATAATAAATAAAAATTCTTTTGCCAAATTTTTAAAAATTAAATTATAAATTTAATAGAAGATATAAGTGCAATATTTTAAATTTAAGTTTATTGCATATATATTTATTTATTCAAATCAATTTTTATGTCACTAGGACTCTAAATATTTCTACTATACTTATATTATTTTTTTTTAACTTTTAATAATATAGTACTGCTATAAGTTTATTAATAAAATTTTATATTTACAAATATATTAAATATATAAAATAAAAAATACAAATAAACTAAATTGCAACTACTTTCTGTAGTTTTATTTCAAGTCTGTTTAGGTTAATTAATTACTAGTATAACAGAACTATCATAACATAATTGATCTATATAATGCATTATAAATAATTACGTAAGTGACGTAGTTAACAGGATCGATTTAATAGATATATTTAAATTATATAACGTAAAAAAATGTAGATTCAAATATCAAACATGTCAAACATATTTAATATATTTGACATACCTAACATATATAATATATTAGATTGACATTAAAAAGTATATAAAGGAGATTAAATGCTTGACAAAAAAGTAACTATCAATTGTTAAATACTATCTGATCAGTTGAGCAATAATTATATAATCCTTTTTATAAAGTAGCGAAAGGCTATTCTTTTCTATTTATAATTAATTCTTCTTTTGTATTCCCTTAGTTTAATATTTTTAGCTTTTAGTTTATTTATTTACCAATGTATCTTTATTCAATTTACTTGAAACATTTTGTAATACTTTGTATTTGTAACATAATTCACGTTTAATTTTGACTTAACATATAAAAATATACTTAATAGTATATTGAATACATTGGGCAGTATATAGTAAATGAATCATACATTCATCATAAGTTTAAATATATTTTTTAATATATAATAGAACTTAACCAACTAAGATATGAATATACTTTGTAATATATAAAAGAACTATTAATTTACTGAGACAACTATTAGATTACTATGTAAACTTAAAAGAATCACCACTTAAATATCTTGTCTAATTGTTACAATTCGCAAGGATTACATGTTAATATTAGTAATTCCTTTTGAACACTTGTAAGAATCATTTTTAATAAGCAGTCTTTCAATAAGAAAGGCTAATTAAAATATTAATATTATAATGCTTTTTTAAAATTGTTTATTAATCCTCTACTTTTAAAAATTTATAACTTTAGAATTAACGAACTTAAAATTAATATTTAATAAAAAAAAAGATTAAAAAAAATACATAATTTCAATAAATTCCTAATTAAGTTATCTTTTTAATTCTTAGTTATAGTGATCTTTTAGCATATGAATGCTTATATTACTAAGTTTTATCAGAAGTTCTTCAGTACTCTCAAATTTTTATGTTAAAATATTCATTAATTCAGATTATATTCATTAGTAGATATTGCATACTTAAATTATGCAATTATGAGAAATCAAAAATTCTATTAGAATTAGCAAGCTATATAATATCAAAATCTTAAAAAGGGTGTTGTTATTTATAAAGGTAATTAGATAATCATCATTTAAGATTTATTATACTTAAATTTATGTTAATCCTAATCATTATTTTAGATATCCCCTAGTGCCTATTTTATTGAGATAAAAAAAGATAAATTAATAAGAAAAATATCTAAGAGAAGTAGCAAAAAAATATTTTAATAAAAAAATATCACCGTTTAGACTAAATAACAAAATATTTTAGATAAATATATAAGAATAAAAGGAGAAAAATTTCAAAAAAGAAGGTTTTATTTTTTATTTATAGATAAGTTGTAAACATCTTTGAATAGTGATATACATTTTTAATATTCTAGAAATTTGTTATTCTAGCTATATATCTTAGCTATATATTCTAACCTGTCTCATACTATATTCTAAATATCTTATATATCTTATCTATATTTTATCTATATCCTATTAATATTTTATCAACATTCTATGATAATACTACACTTGAATATATACAATTT